ATGATCGCTTTTATTTTTGAAAAAAAATTACTAAATCAATTAATATCTTATAAATATTATTATTATCATGATGAATTAACAATGTCATAATTTTTGAAATTTTTTTGGGTGGCGATTTTACCTGGTCCTCAAAATAACGCCCTGGGATGTAGGTTAAAATTTTGGGCCGAATTAAGCTTAATTCAGTCTAAATCAAACTTAATTCGGGCCAAAATTTTAACCTATAACCCAGGATGTCATTTTAAGACAATATGGTATTTAAAAAATCGCAAGTATTTTTTTACAAGATAAAATTGCTTAATAAACATCATTAAATTGCACTTTTAATTTTTAATCATTGAATATACATATAGGTAAAAATTTTAGTGGAGTGCTGGTGACTATATAAAATTATGTGATATAACAAAGTAATAGGTTATTTGAATAATCTACTACTTATAAAAACTGATAAGTAACGGATTAGTTTTGGGTTATTTTTAGCTGATCTGTTCAGTACATTGCTCATAAAAACTAATAAGTAACTCAAAAGCAATTCATAAGCAATTTTACAATTACCGACAAATAATCACTTTTAATCTTAGTAATCACACTGTATTATATATATTATTGGCTCAAATTCTATTTAATCTCATCATTCAACTTATATAATCACAAACTAATCACAAAATTGAAGATTTCCGCCTATATGATCATGCATAATTTACAAATTCTTATCGCATAAATTCTGAGTCCCTGTTTTAGCCCAAATTAATTACATCAAAATTACATGTAATTTTGATTTCAGAAACACAAATTTACGTAAAATTACGTAAAATTACAGTAATTTTCCAACCCTATATATATATTACGGGTTAATTTGGTTTTTAGATTAAATTAAACTTGACTCAGATCAAATTGATCAATTAAAAAACCCGGTCGGCATTAACACAATTCCAGCCCGTAAAATTCTGCTAGTGATCAATTTGACCTGGGCCAAGTTTAACTTGATCTAAAAACCAATTGGACCCGTTTCATGACCACAAACTTATCAAATCAGCGAAAAAACATTCGGCTAATGTTTATCAGGTGTTCCAGAAATTATAGATATAATAAAAAAATATTAGTGACAAAAGAGGTGCTGAAATATACGACACTAACAGCCAAGAAATACTTACTCGCGTCAAAGAAAGAGCACTCCAAGGAATATCAAAATGGACGACCCAATAGCAAAGAAAGCGGGTGGCACCAACGACAAAAGAAGGACTAAAATTAAATTTAACGACACCAACGACGAAACAAGAACCACCAAATTCAACAACACCAGCGACAAAGAAGAACCACCGAATTCGATGTCACCAGCACGAAAGAACCAAAGAAGAACCTCTGAACTTGACGACACCAGCGACGAAGAAAGAATCAGCGAAAAAGAAGCACCAAATTTAAACCGAATTCAACGACACCAGCAACGAAAGAATAATCACCAAATTCGACATCAGCGACGAAGAATCAACAAATTCGACGACACCAGCATGAAAGAAGAATCAATGAAAAAGCTCCGAACTCGATGACACCAGTGATGAAGAAGCACCGAATTTACTATGACGAAGAAAGAACCCGAATCTACTATTCCAGTACCCTAATATAACACGAATCTACAAAAAAAAAATTGTTAGTGAAACGAAAAATAAATCGAAAAACAAAAAGAACAAAAAAAAAGAACTGGTACTTATCTTTTTGTACTAGTTTCGGTTTCCGAATCTCTATTCCTGACGCTATTCTATTATCCTAATATAACACGAACCTACAAGAGAAGAATTATTAGTGAAACGAAAAAAAAAAAAAAAAACCTGGTACTT